TGCTTTGATTGGTTGAACGGCTGACTGGTCGGCCAGACACTTAGCATATTAGGCTTTTATTATACAGGATTGATTTCAGAGAGGAAGGGTGAGGGAGAGAGAGATAGAAACATCAATGGTGAGAGAGAGAATTATTTATTGATCAGCTCCTTCCTGCATGACCCCCATGTGCCCTTGGCCAGAATCGAACCCGGGACCCCTGTCTGCAGGATGGTGCTCTATCCACTGAGCAAAACCAGCTAGGGGACATTTTGTTTTTCTTAAAGGACCAGGTGGTAAATATTTTAGGACTTGTGGGCCATACAGTCTCTGTCACAAGTAATCAACTCTGCCATCACAGCTTGGAAGTAGCCATAAACAAATGTGTAAATAAATAGGCATGGTTGTGTTTTAATAAAGTTTTATTTTAAAAAACAGGCAACGAGTCCATGTCCCATAGTTTGTCAACTCCTGCTATAATATATCAGTTTGCCTTGATATGGTAACCTAAGTGATTTAAATATTTTGATGTTTTAAGATCAACAAGATTGTGGCTTGTCTTAGTGTGGTGTCAAAGAAAGTAAAACAAAGTACCCACTCAGATACCAAAGAGACATCTTAAAGTAATGTACATCTTGAATAACGTCTTTCAAAAAAGTACAAGGACGAATCACATTGCACAACACACTGGAAAATGTGCTAAAAGATATATCCACCCAATTATATTCCCAAATATAACTCCTCAAGAAATTTTGAATTTCATTCCCTCCCAATCTCTTTCAAAATTCTCACCAGCATTAGTTCATCTATGTATGTCTTCTCGTAGCTTCGGCCTAGTTCTTTATTAAGTAGATAAATTTAATCATGGGCTTTCAAAGACTCTATTATTTACCCACTCCACTGATCAGCACAACCAAACTCCAGAAACCTGCAAAGCTGGGGAGGAAACTGAATTGTATGTTGTTCATCCCTCCCACTCCCTCTTCTACATTTAGGGGCACTAGACATGTAAATGGTAATAAAAATAGTTTTCCCCTGATGATAGTGTAAAATGAAATATGATTCTTCTTGGGCTTTAGGAGGCACACGAGACTTTGGAGAGCACTGAATAAGCCCTCTTCCCACCTCCCTTTATAAATGACACTGTATTCCAGAGGCGCGAGGAGGCTGGCCTCAGTTACGTGCATATATCGAAGTCTAGATATTATTTTATGGATTCTACAGGTAATTTGGGTAGCAGGGAACACTAGATGGGAAGTCCCCATTTCTCAGCTCCTGGGGTGCAGCCTATCCACTGCTTTACTCCACTCCCCTCTCTAAGGAAGTCCCTGATGTGCAGACCCTGGGTCCAGCGCTGAGATACACAGTGAACAGGCCCAGCTCTGGGTCTCACCCTGCCCTTACTGGCTATGTTATTTGAGTGAGATATCTTCCTGTGCGGACCATAAAATGGGGCAATAGCTTTAGCCCTTCCTTTGCATTGCTGTAAGGATATGATCCAGCCTGTGAAATCCTCAGGTCACTTTGCACAAAGTTAGCCTGCAGTAAGTATTAGCTGTTATCTTTGGTACGATTAACAAAAGAAAATATCCACTTAAAATGTAGGTGCAGCTGATGTTTTGAATCAGGTGAACAAAAGATTCTTGGGAGAGGGGTGAGAGACCTGTCATCTCTCTGAGGGAAGTAAGGGAAATCTTTCAGGAATAAGTGACTCCTGAATTAAGAGCTCACGTACAGAAGGGAGTTAGGAAGGCAAAGAGTGGAGGGAGAGCACTGAGAGAGATGAGGACACACAAGCAAAGGCTCAAAGGCCAAGGTGTGTGTAGAGGAGTGTGATAGGCCTACATTGTGAGAAAGACCCAGCAACAGAAGAGGCTGGAGGTGTATGTGGGTCCAGATCATAAAGGGGTCTTGCTTTTCCTTCTCAGGAAACTCATACCTGGTACTTTATGGGACATGAGAAGCAAGGGGAGTGGCAGAGAAGTGACATTTATAGATTTTCATTTTATAAAGATAACTAGAGGCCCAGCACACGAAATCATGTGCAGGTAGGGCCCCTAGGCCTAGCCTGCGATCATGGCCAATCCACTGAGCCAAACCGGTTAGGGCTCAGGGCCATCTTTTGCCCACTCACCAGTCCCCAGTCCTGCCCTGCCACCACCCACCCCGGTTCCCTGTGGTTGTCCCTTCGCTATCCTGTGATTGGAGCCTGCGAGTTGGGGGTAAGGGGGGGAGAGGGACTGAGAGGTGGTCAATGCACCTCATAGAGACTGGTTGAACAGTTGTTCTGATTGTTACACCATTATGGTCGCTGGGTCTTTATTATACAGGATTAAGGCACCTGACTTTTGTCTGGATGGGGACAAAACTATTTGTGGCTGAGAGATGAGTTAGGAGACAGTTGTAGCGAACAAAGTGAGAAGTCACGAGGACTAGAGTGGGTTGTAAATACAAATGCTTACAGAGGTCAAACAGGTGCCATAACTGGATAAATCCAGGTGGGTGGGACCTGGCTGCAGCAACCTGGAGAACTCATGCCCTGCACTAAGGGACCACCATAGCTTCAGCTTCAAGAACTTCCTTCAAAATTCCTTAGAGAACAGGTTTATGATTGACAGGTTCACTCCACATTGGTTTGTCTAAAAAAGTACCTTCTGCTCAATTCTGTGTGAACCTAGAACTTCGCTAAAAAACATTGAGCTTCTAGGACCTATGAGTTTATATTTTTTCCCCTCAAGTTTACAAAAAATATTTTGGCCATTATTTCTTCTGTAATTTTTCGCTCTTCTTCCAATGCTACACCAATTATATGTATGTTAGAATGGTTGACATTATCTCAGGTTATCTTCAACTTTTTTATTAATATCTTTGCTCTGTATGCTTCAGTTTGGAGAATATGTACTGCACAGGCTTCAAGTGAATCAGCCTTTTCTTCTATTCTAAAGCCCATACAGTGAATTTTTCATTTCAGATATATTTGTTCATGTCTAGAATTTCCACTTGGTTCACTTTTTGTCTCCATTTCTTTATTCAAATTTTAAAATTTGTAATCTTATTATATTTTTATGTTTCTCTTTAAAGATTTGAGCACTTTAGTGCAGAATCTGTGTCTGTTTCTATTCACTGATTTTTCTAATGATTATGGGTCATGCTTCTTTGTCCGATCAATAAATTTTGGTTTTGTGTTAAACATTACTGTGTGTCTGGATTTTGTTATCTTCCTTAACAAATGCTAAGTTTCATTCTGTTAGGCAGTTGCTTTATTTGCAGATTAAATTTATCCTTTTAAGACTTATAAAGATTTGCAGGAAAGGAGACAGAATGATGGTTTGCAGGTGATAGTGGGACAAGGCATTGAAAGTGGTATGGTTCGCAGCCTGCATCTCCAAGGAGCATCATTTTTGTGTGAGGATAGAGACATCAGGCCTCAAGGTCAATGTCCAGCACCCGTCTGAGCTCATGAAATGGGAACATGAACAGCCAATACAGTTGGAAATGCACATGTGTGCACAGCTCCATGTTCACATAGAGTGCCACTCATACTGCAAACACCACTGTCTATTATAGTGATTTCCCCACATGTGGAAGTAACTCGTATTGAAGAAATGTGCTTCCCACCCCGCCCACCCCCAATTTTCACAAAAGCAGTTGGTATGGGCAGTTGGTGCCTTGGGGAAGGGGTTGAGCACTTCTGCCCAAGGTGGATGCAAGGGAGCATCTCAGGGGAGACACAGGCTTCTGTTAGGGCAAGAGGAGGGTGAGGGACATGGGGTTTGAGGATGACAAGTTGTGTTTTTGGCATAGATCAGATGGTTTCAGCGGGAACCCTGGAAGGGTCCAGGATGGGGGCAGTGGGAAATCAGGTCCAGGAACAGGAAGCAGAGAGAACAGAGGGGACATGAAACCAGGAGAGAACAGATGATTAAGTAGCTTATGTCTTGGTGGTGACTATGGGTGACAGGGACATGGGGCAGGGAAAGTTGACTCTGCAAAGTTTCCAAAGATGGAGTCCCATTGGCTGCACAGTGGTGGTCAGTCAAGGACCTAGTCTGGAGATGTCATAACTGGACGCCCAGAAACCCTGGAGCATGAGGCCTGCTCTCTAGACTTGAGGACCCAGGGTTTTGGATTCCATGCACCTTCGGGTCCCTGGTTGCGCAACCAATGAATTACAGATTGGCAACTCCTGTAATTCCTGTGGTGGTGGGAGCTTGATCCTTTCTCAGCCTTCCCACCACATCTTTCCTCTTTATCTGTGGAGTGTCTCCCCTCCGGCTTTTTTCCTCTCTTTCTCTCTGTTCCATCCACAGACTCCCTTATCCAGAGCATCTTACCCCTGGGCACAGCGGTTACAGGTGCCACCTTTTGGGAAATGCAGAGAGCTCCCATGGAGGATAAAAAGAGGAATTTCGGAGGGTGGCTGAAATGAACTTATTTTTGCGCTCACCGGGCTTCTCCTTTCACCTAGGCAGACTCATCTCTGTGGAGAGCAGCCCCCTCCCCAAGATGGAGAGAGGAAGTGCAGGCCAGGGGCCAGGAGAGCCCTAACTGCACCGGGGAAGAGGGGTCTCCTGCCCTCCTCGGAGGCCCTCCCATTCCTGAAGGAGGGCGTCTTCTCTCTGCTGCCAGCTGGCCTGGGCATTTCCCCAAATAGCCTTGGGCCCAATATATATATTGTTCAATTCCTGTGGTAGCTATCTACTTTATCTGGAGAAATGCATGGCGTATCCCTTCCTGGGTGTGACCCTGTGGGGCCCAGCTCCAGACATGCCTGTGGCCAGTCTTCCACGTTGGCATCCTGGAACGGCCCGGCTCCAGGCCAGGCAGGGGCGGCCACACTGGTGCCCAGAGCATGGCACCTGGCCCGGAGGCCTCGCCTGCGTGGCCCTCTGTCACCCGGCCGAGCTACCTCAGCCCCCTTTCTTAACAAAGGATCCAAAGTGTTGGGGCCAGGGGTGAGAGAGAAAGGTCATTTCCGCTTGCTGAGCAAACAGAGAGACAACGATAAAACGCCCCTGGCAGCGGGAACCCTGCATTCTGCAGCGGCCCTGGGTGCAGCTGAGCGCGGACATGGCAGGCGCCCGGCTCCTGGCAGCGGTCCTCGTCCTGGGTCTGTGCGCCATGGCGGGGGCCGGGAAACCTTGTAAGTGAACGCCCCGAAGTGACCCTCCGTGGCTCAGTGTCCACATTTGGGCAGTGGGGCCTCTGGGCCAGCGAGCCCGGAGAACCTGCTAGAGCCCACACCCAATGGGGCATGGAAGCCCCTGGGGGGGTCTCCGTTCTTGCTGGCTTCTCTCAGGAGGAAAGGGAGGAAGCTGCGTTCGCTGGAGGGAGGAAGCAGCCGGGAAGGCACCTAAGACCTGTGGTGTGGGCCACACGCGCAGGCCTATGGGCGTTCACACTTGCTTTCCTGCTATTCAGGGAGGATACCCGGGGTCTGTGAGACCTCAGAGAGAGGCCTCCCTCCCGGACAAGGTCAGGGTGACCCCTGGTGCTGGGGGGCCCGCTTGAGGAGAGGGACAGGGCAGGATGCCCCTCCAGGGGCTCCTTGGAGTCCGGCTTTGATCACCTTTCATCTTGGTCTCCACGTGGGCCCATCTGTCCACCTCTTTCTAGAAGGTTATTTTATTTTTTTACGTATTTTACAAATGACACAATGGCAGCAAAGCCCTGTCCCCTGTGGGTGAGACCAGACTTTGCATTTCCCTGGCGGACACGATGGTGTCCCGAGCGTGCCGGGCCGGGCAGCGTGGAGGGTGGTGACGCGTCTCTCCACAGCCCCCTGCCAGTGCTCCAGGATGAACCCCGACAGCAGGAAGAACTGCGGCTTCCCGGGCATCACCAGCGAGCAGTGCTTCGCCGCCGGCTGCTGCTTCGACACCACCGTCCCGGGGGTGCCCTGGTGCTTCACGCCCCTCCCCATGCAAGGTAACCGCAGGGCAGCGGGGCCTCTTCCTGTGCCCGCAGCCCGCAGCCCAGGCCCCGGCTGACGGTGCTGGGGACGGGTGCCCAGGCCCCCCAAGGGAAGAGAAAGTCCCCCTTCACCTGTGTCCACACCTGGAGCCCCAAGGGCCAGTCCTTTGCCCCCTTTGGCAGACAAATGTGGGAGCCCGTGTGTGTGCAGAACCTGTTTCTCTGTATTTGAAGAAATAAACAACGCTGGGGCCTCTCCTGTAAAAGCGTGACCGGAAGGTGCTTCTAGGGCAGTGGTTCTCGACCTGGGGGTCGCGACCCTTTGGGGGTCGAACGACCCTTTCACAGGGGTCGCCTAAGGCCATCGGAAAACACATATATAATTGCATGTTGTTTTTGTGATTAATCACTATGCTTTAATTATGTTCAATTTGTCACAATGAAATTGGGGGGTCACCACAACATGAGGAACTGTGTTAAAGGGTCGCGGCATGAGGAAGGTTGAGACCGCTGTTCTAGGGGAAGGAGGATTTCGTGGGACCTCATTCACGTGACTGCTCGCAGACGCAGTGTTAGGACGTTAAGTCTTCTAGGACCACTTCTGAGAGTGGCTGTATGTCAGATGCTCAGGAGAGCACGTCGTCAATCCCACGGCGTGCACACAAGAAAGCGGGTGCAATGCAGGCTGGCGTGCCTGGGACTCGCACCCTGGCCTCTCGCCCACACTCCCTGGGACTGAATGCGGGGCTCCCGGGCTCTGAGGCTGGCTATGGGCCAGGAGCCTCCCTCGAGGGGAAGTGCTGTTGGGTTTTCATACTTGTGCCAAATGCTTTAGAACCTGAAAGTTATTTCTCCTCTCTGGACTCGATATGGGCAGCCCATTTTACAGAGGGGAATAGCGAGTCCAGAGAGGAGAAATAACTTTCTTGAGGCCCCAGTCCTATAGGTCTTCTGACTTGTGGTGTCTGTGGGGAGGAAGGGGTGGCCAGGCGCTGGCACCGACCCGTACGCAGGCCGTGGGTGGTCCAGCCCCAGAAGGTCCTCCTGACAGTCCCGGCTGGAAATCCGGAGGTGGTCCCGGGGGCGCATGGGAATTTCCTAGTTAGTAGCGGGCCTAACTGAGTCTCTGTGCTGTTCCTCTCCCAACCCTGGTGACGGTGACCAGACAAGGAGGAGTGTGTCATGGAAGTGTCGGCCCGCGTGAACTGTGGCTACCCGGGCATCAGCTCCGAGGTCTGCGCGTCTCGAAATTGCTGCTTCTCCGACACCATCCCTGAAGTGCCATGGTGCTTCTTCCCAAAGCCCGTGCAAGGTACCGGCGCTGAGGGCGCGCCGGCTGGGGCCTGGGCACGAGGATTGCTCAGGAAGGTGGGGGCTGGGGAGGGGGTGTTCTTACCCTGGACGTCCTGCCTGAATGCCACTGAGGCCCTGGCTCCTGACCCAGGCGTGGCCATTTCAGGGGACAAGTAGACTGATGGATGAGCCTGCCTTCACTGTGAGGCAATTCCAGAATGTTCTCAGCCACGGCAGCGTCCTTGAGATACGTTTAGAGCCACACTGCGTCATGGGTCTTTATGACGGTTTCAAAGCACAGCGTTTTCAGCCACGCCCCTGGACCGTGGCCACACTGGAGGCCTCACAGTCCGATGCCCATTTTTGGATGCTACCAAATGCCCTCGCTGTGTTGGGTGCCGGCGACGGGGCCCGGAACAGAGCAGACATGGCCTCCTTTCTGTGGCCCTCATGTCCTCTCACGTGGCCATGCATGTCAGGTTCTGCCCCAGCGCCTGCTTCAGTGGCAGCCCCGGAGGGCCCAGCCCCTCCCCCTCTTCGGTCACAATGTGTCTCCCGATACTGAGTTTGGCAAGATAAAGGAAAAGCAGGCATTTCCCCCAAATGGGAGGAGGGCCCTGGTCCTTGAAGAGCACAGCCTTCACTTGCAGAAATTTCCAAGTGTGACCTAAGGGACCACCTGGCAGTTGGCCAGCTGTTTAGGGCGAGTGGCCCCCAGAGGACACCCCAGCCCTGGGCATTTGTCCCCGGAGGGGAGCTCCCTCCACGGGCGTAGCTGGGCACGTGGCCTGTTGCCACGGGCCCCACAGCACCCTTAGCTCAGGCTCCGGGCTCCCTGACCTCTCACCAGCACCTCTCATTTTGAATTTCTAGACTGTCACTATTAAGAGGCAGTGGCTTGAGAGGACCCGCCGGCTCCTGCATGTTCTGAAACAGCGAGAGGACTCACCAGCTCATCCGTTTCCTGTTCCGTGTTTCCTGAATGCCTGGGTTTTCTTCATCGCTTTTTACCTGGTTCAGTGGGTTCACATTCAGTGTCTTCAAATAAAGGAAACCCTTAACATCTGCTGCATTTTATTTTGGCTTCATTGACGCAGAGGCGGAGATAGGTGTGTGTGTGTGTGTGTGTGTGTGGCGTTAATGCGCTTTCATTTCCCATAAGAGCAAAAAGCCATCCGCTGTGTCCGGTGACTCTTGCAGCACTCAAGGGCCCCGTGTAAGTGAGTCTCTGAATCTGCCTCACTTTCTAACTCCTGCACCCGGTCGTGTGTCTACACACTCACATGACTTCAGCCCTCAAGCCTCTCGCAGTAACATGTGACTTCAATGCAACTACAAAATCATTTCACTGTGACCAGAGGCATCTCGGACCACCTGCCTTTGAACTGAGTGCCAGGCCCTGTCACCTTCTGGGACGCCGCTTGCAGAAGGAGGCCACCTATGGCCTCAAGTCGCCGGCGTGTCTTCCTCTTGCTCACAGCACACTCGCCGGCTGAATAAATGGTGGCTGCTGCTGGAGCTTGTGGTCTCAGCCACACTCGGGACCAATGGCCAACGAGACAGGCGCGGGCGTCTGTGCATTTGTTCATCACAGGGCGCCCACAGGGTGCAGTTCACAGGTTCCCCCGTCGGCCAGCCCGGCCAAGCGAGAGGCAAAGCCAAGTCCCCCTCCAGGGGCCACATGAATGGTCCCTGCCAGCACCCGGACCGAGAGTCTGGAGGCCCCGCTCCCAGAACTGGCGCGTGGCTGTCCTGTCTCTGGGGTTGGCGGGAGCTCCTGGCTCTGGCCAGCGTGGGCGTTTTCTGGTCCACGGACCTCTTGTTCTCAGGCGGAGTGGGGGCCACTGGCAGGAACCTCTGGGGGCCCACCCTGAAGGCGTTTTCTCAAAATCCTCCTCTCAGGCCCCACCCCATTCCACTTCCTCCCTTGGGGTCCTCTTTGGTGCATGAACACCCTCCTTTCTGAGCCGATTCCCACGTGCCTTCTGATGACTGACTGCGGAGTCTTAAGCGATGTCAGTGGCGTCTGCTGGGGCCGGGGGGTCCTTGGGACGTTTCCTCTGTTTCAGATACGGTAGCTCCTGCCGGCTGCAAAGCCCTTGATGGCCGCTCACTGCTCGGCATCCAACGTGGTTTGGGTTGCGCTGTCCCCTCCTCCTCCTTTACGTGGCCACCAGGGGGTCCTCGTTAGCCCCGGAGCAATGGTTGGTGCATACGAACGCTCTCCCTTCAGAAAAATGAACCCTTCTTTGTCCTTTTCTCTGTCTTCCTCCACCTCATCCCTCCTCCTCCCCCTCCTTTCCCTCCTGTGATGAGTTATTTTGTCTCCTCGGCCATTCTCTGCTTCTCTCCCTCCATCCCTCTTCCCCCAGAGGCACCCACAGTCTCCGCTGGGCTCTGGCAGTCATGCTGCTGACGTGAGGAGGGTGAGACTTGGTGCAGAGGGTCCGCC